TTTTATTTCAATTTTTAATTTTTTTCGTCGCGCTGTGATGACGTCACATGCGCGCTTTCGCCGAGCGCGATTTTGTCCTCCGCGCTTTTGACGGGTCACGAGTTAAACGAGCATTTGTTCTGTGACCATTCAAAGTTACAACAGCACTGAAGGACGCTCACAACCAGCCCTTAAAGTTGCAGCCATCACAGTGTCCCCACAGTCATGTAAACACAATTTGGGTGTTCATCAGCCATCATGCAATTATAATGTCACAGACTCCCATGGTCATGTGATCAACATTTGCACTCTTCTTTGCTGGCTTTCTACAAGCAGTCAATGGGGAAGCTGGTAGGGGGCCGCAAATGATGACCCATTGATATCCTCACTTAACCACCCACGGAGATTCATTTAACAATGATAACGAGAAGTACTGACATTTCCATTGCTAAGTGTGGCAGTCACATGACTTAGCATGTGGAAATCCTGGTCCCAATTACCATTGTTAAGTGGAGACTGCCTATTTCTATATCAATGTATACCTTACATGATTTGTAGAATAGCAAAAGCTTTGGTAACTGCAATTCCTTGGTGCAGAATAGGGCCAGTTTTTATGATAGAAGAACCCAGGAGATGTGAGCTTTTCAGCCTGCAAAACTCAAATCCCCAGCCAAATGGTTGCTTGCCTTCCTTTCAAGTAAAAGATTCCAGGATTTTTGTGGGAAGGAACTGCTCAGTGCGAGGCACACAGGAAGGAGGGCTTGCAAGTAGTGAGTGCAGCTGCCATGTGTTGGCCAGCAGCTGTGTGGAAGGAAATAGTCCTGGCTATAACCCAGCACCATCTGGGATGTGTCAGCACCACAGCCTGGGAACAAAAAAAGGAGTGGAGAGCTTGCTTAAAACACCTTAAGTATTGGGCTATCATAGGCAGTTTGAGCATTCCCACAGGATAAGTGGAAGAGTGCTCCATCTTAGCTCTTTTTCAAAGCACTAGAATTAGGTGAGCAGAACAGGATTAATTGAAATTGATATTTAAAAAGTAGGCTGTGAAATTCTTACTTTCTCACTCTTGGAGACAGGAAATCCACAAATTCTTAATGAATGCCAGTTGAAAATTACCTCAGAAAAATCCCCTCCGTTCTATCCCGATTGACAGGAAACTCCAGTATTTCAGAGAGATGCAAATTCAGAATCACCTTAAATAGCTTGTGATGTTATTAATGCTACTTATTTAGATAGGAAACATAAGACCGGTTTATCTTTTCTAAATTTCTTTTTATAAGCCTTTTAGTCAGGGGTCATTATATCAAGGATTAAGTGCTGCTATTGTTTTGTTTTTGTTATTTCCTTTCCATCATAAGGCAAAATTCAAGTCATTTTTGAATTTCCCATCACAACAGATTTTTACATACGACTACTTCCATTTCCTATAGAGAGGAAGATAAGTAATCTTGAACTTGTATTTTAACTGGGGGTTGAGAAGCCTTTATTCTAAATACAGTTTAACTATAATGATGATTGGCTTTATGAGACTATTTCAGGGTTATTTATCCAACGTCGGCAGTTTTGAGAGAAATTGAATGTATCCACATAATTTAAAAATGGAGAAATTTTCAGTCCTCTTATCCCAGGCATTTAGATTCCTATGCAGTGATAGTCACATTGGGAAAGAGGAAATATGTAGCATTTAACTTCCCTCATTTCACATTTTAATAACTGCTTCAAAATCAGGCAGGAAGGCAAAATGGAGGGCTAATCCTCTCCCTTCATGCTATTTTTCTCCTTCAAAACTCCCTTTGAAGAGAGGGATCATACAGCTGTAGAAAACTTCACCTGAGGCCCTGAGATGGATTGGTGTCAAAAGCAACCTATCAGTTGGCTTTTTAATGGTTTTCTCTTTCTCTTTTTAATTGTTTTTCTGTTGTGGATTTGGACCTGCCGTTTGCCAATTTTGTATAGCCATGTTGAACCAGGAGCGTTTTCTTCTATGCTTTTTTGGCTCAGGTGCTTGAAACATCTGCTACCAAATGCCAAGTTAGCTGCTTCATCTGGTTATTGAATTAATCCAACTTCTGGGTTTGCACAAACATTGAACCACACAGTTAAAGCCTCGTTTGGGAAAAAATGCCCAACCTCTTTATGAATTCATTCAATGTTCTGATTTTATAAATACACTGAACCGCAAACTAACAATGCTGCTTATTCACATTCTGCTAAACTACATTTTTTAAAAAAAATAAAGTCAGTTGTGCAAATGCAGCTGTTAGATTATTAAACGATTTGGTTAAGCAAATCATGAGAACCCAGCCTTTGTTAATTGGCTATTTGTGTGCCACCAGAAAAATATGGGTTTCTGAATTATTTAAGTACAGTAATTGATTTGTTCCAGGTTCTGCATACAGCTTCATTTCTCCAATTACTACCTCAAGATTTGGCAGGAAGAATTGAAGCAGGACATACCAATGCACTTATTACTGTGCTAACCAGGTGGTTGAAGGAGGCTAGAATATAATCTAAGATTTTGTGATCCAAGAATTAAACTGGCAATATTTGCGGTAACAGTTTGACCTTTATAGTGTGTCTATTAAATATTGGTTATAGCATTGATTACATATTTAATCCTTTCAAATGAATTAAATCACTTGAGAGGGGGAATAAACATTCTCAAATAGAACAATTGTTCAGAAATGTTAGGCTGATCAACTGTGCATGTAAGCACTGTACTGGTTAAAGCATGGAATCATTTGCCATAATCTAAAGATAATTTTCCCTTCTTGTCTTCAGGCAATGGAAAGCAAATTGCTGATTGGTGGAAGGAACATCATGGACCATACAAATGAGCAGCAAAAGATGCTTGAACTGAAAAGACAGGAAATTGCAGAGCAGGTAAGGACCAGCTGGGATTTGGATGAGCCGCAGACCCCTCAACTTTTCTTCCGGGTGTCCCACTCTTTCTCAAACCAATGTGAAATGGATATGACCCTTGGCCTCTTTCAAAATACAAGCAACCTTCCAAGCAGATCATGGAGGCTGGACTGGAATGCTTGTTTATGGAGCCAGGGATTGCTGTATCTTCTAACACTCTGGTGGGAGGTAGCAAGACTGTATTCTGACACAGGGATTTTGGCCTGATTCTATAACACAGAAGCGGCATGAGCGGGAAATGCAACAGGAAGTGCTTTTGCGAGATGAGGAAACCATGGAGCTCCGGGAGACATTCACTTCTTTGCAGCAGGAAGTAGAAATCAAAACCAAGAAGCTCAAAAAGGTAAGAATCCTGCAGAAATCTAGGACATAGGAAGATTCAATAGTGTCAGGGAAATCCTATAGACTGTCCATTAGAATAGATTGATAGTTCTCTTTAGAGACAGGCTAATACAAGTTTTAAGATTATTCTTTCTCATGAACCAAATCAGGAAAAATTTGTCTCCTGCAATAGATTACAGCATATATGACTTTAAGAAAAAAGGACATTTTTTATCCTAGGTCAGACCATTTGCTTAAAGTAATCTCTACTATATAGGTGTGATTTTCAAGATATTGTTGAATTTTAGCATCCAGCCGTCCCAGAGAGTATGGTCTGTGTTAACTACCTTGCCTCTTGTTCCTAGGTTCCTACAATATGCTTAACCCCAAATCCAAAATAACAACACACAGTTGTTCTGTTTTCATAACATGTTTTAATGTGGTAGCGTGAGTCACACAACATGCAAAGTAAATGACTGGGTTTCTGCAACATGTTAAACTATAAAATATCCAAACTGATTTTAGTCTAATCCAGGGGTGTCAAACTCGATTTCATTGAGGGCTGCATCACGGTTGTGTTTGATCTTGAGGGGGGGGCGTTGCCAGAATGGGCATGGCCAGCTTGATGTCACTCGTGTCGGGGTCTCCTGTGGTGGCCCAAGTTCTCTGTCAGTAAAAACGGAGCTTGGAAGGGCCACATGTGGCCTCCTGAGCTCCATTTTGCTGGCAGAGCCACCGCGGGCTAGTCCTTTGTTTTTTACAGGGTGGCCCCGGGGGCCAGATTTAAGCATCCTGTGGGGCGGATCCAGCTCGGAGTCCTTGAGTTTGACACCCCTGGTCTCATCTATAATTTTGTGTGCTTGCAGCAGCTCTCTAAGCTCTCATGCTGCGAATGTGAAACTGTGCTAAACAAGATGCTCTGGCTAAATATATCTTATCCTTTAACATGAATATTTAATAAAATGTTCTTTTAAGAGGAACCCCTTGCTAAAAAGAACCCCTCTCTTTGTTATTAAACCAATAAGAAGATAATAGGAGTCTATTTGAAGGTACTTTGGGTATTCTCACCACATAGAAGCAAAATAGAGCTTGGGCTTTTTTCCAGTCAGAGCCTATTCTCATTTAGTAAGACATTTTGAGACAAACAACATGTGATGCGCTAAGTCAATTGAACGGTAGGCCTCTACAAATGTTGATAGCAGGCACTGAGTCAGTGTATAATCAAAAAAGCGAAATGACTATGCTGGAAGAAATTCTGACTGTCAGCTGGTGTCAATTGATTATTGGGCTTCTTTTGGACACAAGCTGAGTGCTATTCCAGAATAGCAATTGGTTTTGTCACCAATTAGTGCTGTTTGATGGGAGAGAGGAAAACAAAGCCAGAGGACCCCACAAACTCCTGCTTTTAATATGTCCTGGACCACTTAAATAAGGAGAGGACATTTGCCAGCATTGTACCTATTGCAGAATAGGGATCCCCAGGGGGAGGCTGGAAGGTGTTATGCCAATATTGTTTTCTGTCAGCTCAAGGCAGGTAACAAAGCTTTTAGCTTGGCTGTGAAGGAGAACCCAATGTCTGTGTGAACCTAGACAATGTATGTGCATGTATGTGTTATTGGAGCTAAACAATATTATTTGTATTTTGAATTGCCCATTTAAGGGGTAGACAATTTTTAAGCCATTTAGGACATACATACATACATGCATACATACATACATACATACATACATACATACATACATACATACATACATGATTTCTACAAGCACGCAATCTTTCTTTCTTTCTTTCTTTCTTTCTTTCTTTCTTTCTTTCTTTCTTTCTTTCTTTCTTTCTTTCTTTCTTTCTTTCTTTCTTTGATTTCTATAGCTGCCCATTCTAACAAGTGACCCTGGGTGGTGTTTGCATATAGTTATTTCTAACAAATTATTTACATCTTCCATATTTTTTTCTGGAATGATTGAGGCTTGCTGTTTGAAATCTTATTAAATCTTGAAGCATCGCCCAAAATATCTCACCTATTTACGTTATTTAGAACACCCAAATCATTTCACCCTTTAAAACCTCTATCTCTCAAAGCAAAAAAAAAAGAGAAGACTAAAATTTGGCTACACTTACATTTTAGTGATATTAAGACTTGGCTGCCTGGCAGACTTCAAAGCAGAGGATATTTTTTCAGGCTAGGAAATCTGGTCCATGAGGTGTAGTTCATGCCAGCTGGAAAGGTGAGATGTGGTATGAAAGCTATTCTGCTAAATAAACAGCATTTTTTTGGGTTCGGCAGCTTTATGCCAAGCTTCAAGCTGTGAAGGCAGAGATCCAGGACCAACACGATGAATACATCCGAGTGCGGCAAGACCTGGAGGAGGCACAGAATGAGCAGACACGAGAACTGAAACTCAAGTAGGTACCTTGGTAGGATGCGTTGAGGTAAAGGCCGAGGCAGCCTGTCTGTGAGAATCCCATGGAATGATTGACCATCTTACATATCTGTCTCATTGCCAGGACTGAGCTTGTTGATCAGAAAGGTTGGCAGTTTGGTGGTTCGAATCCCTAGTATAGGTCTCCTGCATGAGCAGGGGGTTCGACTAGATGACCTCCCAGGTACCTTCCACTCTGTTACTGTTTAGGTAGAAAGGGACTTATGAAAGGAGAAACCAGCCAGATGTGCCAAAGTGACAAGTTTCTCAAGTGGAGAAATCAGGCCAGAATCACCAACAGCTTTTTAAAAAAGAAGTGAAATCCTATTGGTTTTCCTGTGTCATCTTAAATGACCTGGGACAGAGGTAGGGAACTATGGACTCTTTATGATTTGTGGACTTCAACTAGAAGTAACAGTAACAGAGTTGGAAGGGACTTTGGAGCTCATCTAGTGTTGACGTCTGCAAGTCATAAAAGGGCCATAGTTCCCCACCCTGCCCCTTGGACCATCTTTTAGATACCTCTGATGGCAAGGTCCCCAAAGTGGCAAATTATCCTGTTCTTTCTCTTTTTTTGAGTTGATTAACAAAATAAAATTAGCAATATACAAATCAATTTCAGTTCTGAGAACAAATATTTAAATTAGGGATAAAAGAATTAACCTCATATGATGCTGCTTATTTCCCCCCTCTATACATTCTAATTAATTTTGGTATACCACAATCACAGGGATTTAAAAAAAAATCCATCTCTGTTAGATGTCATTTCCCTAAAAAGAAGTGGGAGGGGGGACTTCATGGAATTCCTGTAGGGACATGTTCTCACCACAAGACCCACTCTACAATTAACATTCTTAACTGTGGGTTGGTTTCTGAAGGAAAAGGTAATTTCTATAGAGTCTTTTTATTTTATTGCTCCTCTCTGCCAGCTTGCCTTTCCCATCTCAATAAACCAATTAATGCTCATGTTTTCATGATTCTTTTTGCTCTTTGGCACAGTAAAGCTACCTGTTACTGCCTGTGTTTTTATGATATTCTATATCAAAGGAAAGATTAATGCGAAAGTGTACAATGTGAACCACCCAGTCCCACTTGGTTGTTATTTTATCTAGTACTCAAGGCTTAGTGACATTTTTCACTTGCTAAAACCTGCTGTTGAAGTCTTCTGTTGGCAGCTTGAATTGCACCACAAGCCCCCAACTCTAGTTTAACAGGCTACTTCAAATGATGAGTAAAGTTATAGGGCAAGTTTCTCTTTAACTGACCTAGCGTAACCACCCAACCACTATGTGAAGATTTCTCAAAAGAAACATTTGCCACAAGAATATCTTGAGAGTAACCTTTCTTTCCTGGCAGCATAGCCCCAACCCCTATAATCTATCTACGGAAACCTCTGTTTCATTCATTATCTCTATTGTTCATTCCCATCATTTCTCACTGCCTCTTACTGTGTCACTCTACAAATTGGCATGGTACCAAACAAGGTTGCTGATGCTGTGCAGAATATAAAAATAACCGCATCCCTGAGGAGAGGGAGATGCAGTTCTCCTGAACTCATAATAGTTCAGCTTCATTGACTCCAATGCCTCTCACTTTGGTGATATGATGATTTCCATTATCTCCACCTTCCTCCTAGATAACATAAGATACACCATCCTCTGCAAAGTTTCTTCTACAGTGGATTTTGCCCCAGGATTCTCCCTTTCCTATTCTTCATGGCACCTCTGTTCATGGTAGCATTTCCTTAGGTGGAGATGAGATGATGCAGCCTTAGAATATTCTAAGAATATTCTATTCTCTAAGAGCTAGTTGAGAAATAATCAAAGGGTCAAACCATTTCAGCTGGATTGATCGATTTGTTCCCAAATTCATTATAGTTCACAATACTATAAATGGGAAAAAACTATGGTACCATTCTTCTACTTTGATTTTGCCTTCCCAATCTTTTATTGATGTAACTGCCAGTTAAAACAAGAAAGAGAAGTGTTTTGTGATTGTTTCTTGGCCTTGATTCTGCCCATTTTTATTTGGTGCAGGTACCTAATCATTGAAAATTTCATCCCCCCTGAAGAGAAAAACAAGATCATGAACCGCCTCTACTTTGACTGTGAGGAGGACCAGTGGAAATTCCAGCCCTTGGTGCTGACTCCAGGGAAGTGAGTCTGCCATCTCTTACCTTTGATGTCCAGTGTTCCTGGGAAGGCTGGGCTGGAGGAGCTTCATGTAGATAGTGATGATGAAAAACCAACTGGGTGTCAAGCACAGGTCCTTTCATTCCATCCACCCCTTTTAAAGTGGTGGTGAATCAGCCATACATTCTGAAGTCCCATAGCCATATCGGGTGTCAAGGCCCTGGAAAACGAGGAGATCCAGATAGTTCAAATGGGTATAAAGGTTTATTGTAAGCTTGAGCTCTACAAGAATCTGAACTACTAGCCATCAAGGGAAAGTAGCAAGAGCTAAGAGTAGAAGGAAGTCAAGGTGGGCTGGTCCTAGATCTCTTGTGGGCATGATGGGACATGACTGAAGACGCGTTTGACCCTTCCTTTGGACTCAGCTAGGTCATCTCCTACATGGGGCTCACCAAATTCCTCAAAAAACCTTGCTGTCAAACTGTAATGGAAGGAAGATGATTAAATATTGGTGGATTAATCATGTTCAGTATTTAATGTTTAATATTAATTCAGTAATTAAGTTCAGTCCTTGCGCTACCCAATTTTTAGAGGTCCTGAATTCTCCTGCTCTCCAAAAAGCTGGAAAGATCTGGCTTTTTCTACAGAGCTTGGGGTGACACAAGGCTGGACCCTGAGGAATCTCTGCAATTGTGATATGTATGTGCGTGTATGCTGTGTTTGGAGTACTGGTTATTTTCTGTTTATGTTTGTTTTATTTTATGTTATTTTATTATTGTTTTATTATTTTTAATTGTAATTATTTTATTATTGTTGTGAGATGTCCAGAGTTATAGTACATAAGATGGACAACTATATTAAATCTTTCCAATAAATAAACAAACCGTGGTATGCCATTATAATGTATGACCCTAAACATTGCCCTCATCACTCCCCTGTCCTTCCCCCTGGCATTATATTGTGAAATTGTTGCAAAGATGAGACTCAATAGCAAAAAAAAAAAGGGGGGGAAATGAGCACTATTAGTTAAATGCCATATTGTAGAGAGGAAAAAGTAGAAAGGAATCCTATTTAGGCATATTGTGACTTAAGAACCATTTGTATGTCGTATATTCATCATGGCTGCTCTGGAGAAACTTCTTGTGTGTTTTTTATTTCTTTTATGCCAATAGTAGCAGCAGCAGCAGCAGCAACAGCAACTCCACCACTGGGACTCAGATGAAAAAGCGCCCAACTTCTGCAGTGGGATACAAAAGGCCAATAAGTCAATATGCTCGCCTAGCCATGTCAATGGGGTCCCATCCTCGGTATCGGGTGAGAAACGGTTTCTTAATGGAGTAGGTGGAGGGTTGGTATTGGTGAGGAGAATAAATCCCTCTACATGAGGCTACCCTTGGGGAGATTCAGAAGCTATGGCTGGTGTAGAGTGAGACAGTTTGTGCAATTTTGGGGGGCTCTTGATTGGCCCTGGTAATACCACCAGTGGTGAAATTCAATGTTTTTTACTCCCGGTTCTGTGGGCGTGGCTTGGTGGGTGTGGCAGCAAAATCTTTATTCCCACCCCATTCTGGGAATAGGCAGAGGTGGTATTTGCCGGTTCTCCGAACTACTCAAAATTTCTGCTACTGGTTCTCCAGAACCTATCAGAACCTGCTAAATTTCACCCCTGAATATCACTGGTCCACGAACTGCATTGATTACCAGTCTGCTTCTGGGTGCAGTTCAAGGTGTTGGTGATCACCTTTAAAACCCTTCGTAGCATGGGTCCAGGCTACTTGAAGGACTATCTCACCCCACTTGGATTGTTCTATCCCACCTGTGCTACCAGAGGAGGCATGCTGCAGTTCCCATCAGCCCCATTATTCCAGCTTGCAGGGTCCAGGTCCAGGAGGAGGGCCTTCTTTGCTGTTGCTCCTGAGCTCTGGAAGATCTTGCTCCCTGGTGTGAGGTTGGCCCCAAACCTCCCATCCGTTTGTAAGGGCTTAAAGATGTGGTTCTTCCAGTTGGCTTGGGGCCCCAATAGAGGAATAGCACAATGGGAGTGGTTGATCAAGTAACAACAGATCCCACTTTCCCCTCCACTCCTCCCTGCCTTCTCCATGTGTCCTTAGGTTTTTATGTTGATGTACATTTAATTGTACATGTGCTGACATATTTTTATGACTATAAGCCGCCCAGAGTTACCCTATGGCAAGATGGGTATAAATAAATAAGTACAATAAATAAGGCCAAACTGTTTGGCTACAAGGCAAGCTATATTCCAGTAAAGACTATATTTGCATAGCATTCTTGATACTAAACAAGCCCATTTTCTAACAATACACTGAACTATAAACTAATAAAAAAGGCCAGGGTTGTATAACATGCTAAGTCTTAAGCAACCTAATGAAGACAAATGCAAACAAACTTAGTATATTATATAGCAATAGCAATAGCAGTTAGACTTATATACTGCTTCATAGGGCTTTCAGCCCTCTCTAAGCGGTTTACAGAGTCAGCATATTGCCCCCAACAACAATCCGGGTCCTCATTTTACCCACCTCAGAAGGATGGAAGGCTGAGTCAACCCTGAGCCGGTGAGATTTGAACAGCCGAACTGCAGAACTGCAGTCAGCTGAAGTAGCCTGCAGTGCTGCATTTAACCACTGCGCCACCTTAGCTATATACATCTATATAAATGTGTGTCTTAGTCTAACTCATTTAACTAATATTTGTATCCTAGCTTTGGCCAAAAATAAGACCATTGCAACAAGCTGTTAACAAGATAGTAAACTAATTAAAAGACAAGATTGAAAAAAATAATCAAATAAACAGTAGTCAGGTCACAACAAGAAAAAAGATGACTAATTGTATTTAGAATATGAAGGATAAGACCAAATAGCTGACTGGTTAGAAAAAGATTTTCTCATAAGACTTAATATCTCATAATACTATAAATCAGGATCATCCAATAAAAGATTAGGATATTTAAGACTGATAAAAGGACATATTTATAAGCACATAGATGGAATTTATTATCCCAAATATAGAAATGGCTGCTAACTTGAAAGCTTTTTTTTGAAGAGGATTAGGTAAATTAGTAGCAGACTACAAATGGCTGCTAGTCACGACTCCTATATATTAACCACATTAATGGAGATAGCATGTTTCTCAGTATTAATTGCTAAGTAACATGAGTAGACCGAATCCAATTTATTCTCATATCCTACTTATAGCCTTTGCCCATGTATTTGACCAGCCATTATGAAAACAGAAGTTTCTATCCATTTTTTCACACAAGGTATAATTTTACACATCTGTGTTGTGCATCCTTCACTTTTTTCTCTGGAGATTTGTTCCAGTCTCATGAACATTTTGGTTAATCTTTCCTACATGAGTGAAAATAGAAATTGAAATAAAAGAATAAAAAAGGATTTCTTTTAAACCAGTACTTTTGTGCAGGTTCTGAAGATTATAATATTAAAGAAGAGTTGGAGTGGGGAAAAATTGAGGATTGGTTTTACTGAAACCTTGAAAGCTGAAGATTTTAAGCAAAATGCAAAAATATGGGCAGGTTCATATGAAAAGCTGCCAGTTTGTAAGGCCATGAACTCAGACCATGAAACAAACCATTCAGGATTTGCTTATATGATTATCCTAACTTAGCATTGCATAGGGACTGTGTATTTATTTCAACTACTACACACTCATATACATGTAATAGCTGTAAGAGTAACCTTAAGGAACAGGAGGAAGAGCTGCACCCAAAACAATGGTCAGATTAAAAATATTTTAATCTGTGGCAGAAATACAATTTGAAAAAGCATCTCAGATTTGAACCTCCCTAGTTTTTTTGAAGATAAAGGGAGATGGGGGAGGCACATTCAGACTTGTAAAATTATGTAACTGTAATCTTATAATAAAAGTAGTATTAACATTCATATCTTTGGTTTCCAATACTTATCTACTTGAAAGGCTAACAATATGTTGAACCAGAACTCAGCTTCAGCTCTGTAATAAACTGACCTCTTGATATTATCAACATCTTTCTGCCTTCCTTTCTTCTCCAACTTCACTACCGAAGGCTGAGAACATCATGTTTCTGGAACTAGATGTCTCTCCACCAGCTGTTTTTGAGTTTGAGATCACACAAGACCAAAGTGAGCAGGACCCACGAGCATTGCATTTGGAGAGGTTGATGCGGCTAGATAGCCTCATGGAGCGACCTGCAGCATCCCGAGTACGGAAGTCCCGATCTTGGTGAGTTAGTGAATGGAAAACAGATGTAGGGGGCTCTTGCCAGTATCCTTGGATCCAGTGCTTGGCTTAGTTATTAACTAAATTTTTACCTTTTGTAGCATTATAAAGACAAATAAGCAAGAATGAGCCATGGAGAGTATGACCAAGATTGAGGAAGGTTGGTCAAATATAAGCCTAGTAATCACCAACACAATGTTCAAAATTAGTGTGTGACTTGTCTCTGAGTAATATTACATCTATGTCTATAACATCTAGGTCAGAGGTGTCAAACGTAAGGCCCAGGGGCCAGATCTGGCCCATGGGGTGCTTAGATCTGGCCCACAGGGCCACCCTGGAAACAGCGAAGGACTGGCCCTCAGTGCCTCTATTAGCGAAAATGGAGCTTGAGAGGGCTGCATGTGGCCCTTCTGAGCTCTGAATTCTCTGGTAGAGCATTGCAGGAGGCCATCACAGCTGAAAATGGAGCTCAGGAGCCCATTTTCGCTGGCAGAGCACTCGGGCCATCACAGACACCCCCCAACATGAGTGACATTGAGCTGTCCATGCCCACCTTGTCCATGCCCACCCTGGCCCTCCAAGATCAAATACAATCCTGATGCAGCCCTCAATGAAATTGAGTTCGACATCCCTGATCTATGTCTATAACAACCATAAAAATAGGTTGGTAGTCTATCAGAACCAGTGTAGAGAAGCCCTAGAGTACTGAATAAGGACTGGGAAGAAATCAGTTTGAAATCTCCACTCAGCCATGAAACTTTGAACTAGTCATTTTTTAGCCTAATCTATTTCATTGAGTTATTAGGATGTACAGGAAGGATATATCAACTGCTGTTCTTTTTCTCAGGTGAATTTTTTTTGTTTCTTAGTCAGGAAAAAAATGCTTTTAATGAAAGGGGGGTGGGGGAAAAGGAAAATGTGGATTTTTGCTCTTATTTCTTTTTTCTTTCTTATCCCACTTTAGGTGCCAGACTCCTCGCACCTTGCCGTCTTCAGCAACACAAGTCTCCCTGTCCTCCAGCTCACAGAACCCTTCCATACCACTGGCTCACAAATAATATCCCTCGAGCCCTTCTCCTTCCTTCAGATATGAGGACTGCGCTCTTTCTGCCACTGATTGCCTCTGAGAACACATAGTCCAGGGAGAGGTGTCCCCTGCACTAACTCATCTTTGTCTTTAGCTACTGTGTGTGTGTGTGTATGTCTGTATGAGATGATGGCTCCTCGGGGCCCATATCCCCAGCGTTCTCTGGATCTGTCACCCAATCACTCTATTTATTTAACATATTTATTTATGATGTGTCTTCGTGATGATGCAGGTTTCAAGCTGAGCAGCAACTCCAGTTGGTGGAAGGTGCAGTCCTACTGGCTTTCTGTTAGTGTTGGGGAAATTTGCTCGGTGCACAATGTTTCTAAAAGACAATGCTTGCTTTTTCTTCATTCCATGTATGTTTTAGACTCAGAAGAGAAAAATGATTAGAGGGCAATGAGAACCATCTATATTTAGCTCCAATGGCAGTTCTGTCTGTTTCTTCTGGACTGTGGAAATCATAGTCAACTTTGATGTGTATACTATGCAGTGAGGATGATGAGCAAAGTAGGCGAGTCTCAGGGGCAGGATCTTGATCTCACCAAAATCTATGGATTTCCTTTTGCTTTTGCAATAAGGGCACAGGTCTCATTTCATCTTCTGTTCAAATCTTCTTCATCTACTCTCCACGCACAGATGTTGCAGAGAAATAGCCTGGGCATCAATCATGCAAGCAGAACTATGAGAGGGCTAACTAAAGCATCTTTGTGACTTTGGGAAACATTCTCTGCACCTGGTTGAGAAAAAAGACAAGACAGCTTTAAGCAGCTAATAATTAAAAAAAAAACACTTGATCAACTTACTGAGACAAGGAGTCACCTGTACTTTAATTGGGAACAACATTTTTATACTTGAAAACAAACTGTATGTAAAGTGGGGAAGGGAAGCCAAATTCCCAGTTATTTTGACAGAGCACAGGAAGTAATATAATCTTATCCAGAAGTATGTTCCAATTCACGAAGTCCTTTCAGTGGCAATTGCAGGTTTAATTGAGGAGGTAGCCTAGTAGTGACAAGAGTTTTCTGGATCTAAACAGACCAAGAATAAATATTGGGGGGGGGGGATAGTCTTTATATCCAGCATCTCTCTCTGTCCAAGTTATCTTTTGCACTTTGACTTATTATTAGAAGAATGGCTGTTGGTAACCTTAGCTATCATGCTTCCTGATATTGACATTTTTGATAAACCCAAAGTTACTCAAATCCAATCACATAAGCCATCACGAATTGCAGAAACCATAAGAAGTTTAGAAAGCCTAATTTGACTGGCTTTAATAGGAACAGAAAGAGAAGGAAGTCTTGAGATCGATGAATGATCCTGAATGTTCTGTCCAATTCTGGCAGTAATTTGTGTTACAAAAAGATACTTACCTTTCTGTGCTCCGGGTTTTGAGCACTGAAATGCCTGAAGGAAGGATAAGGAAACATCTGGCATCAAAAGAGCTACAGCACAGAGGTGGGCAAATCCAAGAGTGTCAATCTATGACAGATTATATACTGAGGCATGTAACATTTGGGATTTCTGAGAAAGTGATTTTCCCAAATCATACTTTTTGTTCTCCTTTGTACATACCTTGCTTTGTCCTTGCAGGAATATTTTTATTCTAAGATTCAGTAGTTTATTTAGGAAATTGCTTCCTCTGGGTTTAGAATGTTCAAATCATTTATTATTTTTCAACTATTGAGAGAATCATAATAGCACAAATTCTTACCATTGTTCTATTATCGATTATCGCAAATGAAGCAAGTACAGAATTGAGGGCAATTGCTATTACAAAATCATTAATTTGGGCTCCCTTTTTGTATTACCCATGTAAAAATTACACCGTTCAAGCAATAGGTTAATGTCAGTCAATTTGGTACCTTTAGTACCAATGGCAAGAGGACATTTTCTGGCAAGTTACTATTAACATGATATAGAAACTACCTTCTACAGATGGCAATGTGAGAACTAACACATCTCAGTGTTATATAATTTTATCATAATTGTCACACATGTAGTATGTCAATTTGCCTTTTACTTTGTTGACCCTAAAGCTCTGCTCCATCTTTTGCACTGGTTGTTTTAGTAGCTATTGGTATTCCTACTATGCCATTCTTTTTTATGTTGCATGTAGCTGATGAATCATGGGAGCTAGTACAGGAATATTGTAAAAGATCAAAGGCAACAAAAATTGGATGACAGTTAAGAATCTAGTTAGAAGCTAACCTGGTTCTCAGACCATAAGAATATAGTATGTGTTTCTTTTCTCCCCAACTTTTAAAGGAGCCAAACATGCCTTCTTCACCAAAAGGTAAAAAAAAGCTTGAATCCGCTTACTCAATGCCTTTTTGCCTTTGATTTCTGGAATCTCTTAAATTCTAAATACCTTGGAATCAGGATCAAGCACATCCAAATGCATCTTTTAAGTTTACAGCACAATGTTCACATACAGAAAGAAGAATGAGACGAAGTCTGGTCAATTTATTTGTGGGCTTAATCTTATTAATAACACTTGAATTTAATATCTGGCCTTTTCGTCATCTTGAAGTTATTTGCCATGGACTATAAAAATATATGAACTGGAGAATAAAAGAGATATGCCCTTCTTCATTGCAAAGGAAAGTCAAGAGATGCTCTCACAATGAAAAAGACATCTGACCAGAATTTTTCCCCCATCCAACCAGGATTAAAATTGGATACTGGTAAGCTGAGGCCAGTTGTTTTTCCTGCATAATCACATGTTGACTCTAGAAATCTGGGGTCATAACTAGACAGTTAACCACATCTAGCAGTTTGAAGCAGTGAGCTTGTCTGCACACAAATATGGGGAAGGATGACACTTTTGACAATGTACTGTACTCTGACCGTATATTAAGTGTCTGAAGATCTCTCCTATTTCTCAATCTGCTGCTGTGCTGGCATTAACCTCAGATAACTTCCTAGCACAAAACACAAGAACTATTGCAAAGAAATATTGTAACTTAAGACAAGAACCAATTACTGATAGCTGTGGCAGCCCTTCAGCTTCTACAGTGGGGCTAGGACACTCCTACAGCTCTGCTGCATTGCTGCAACAACCTCAGATGTAGATTTCTGATGTTCTTTGTTCTTTGTATGTCAGAGAGTCTGTATTTACATATGAATGTATGTGGTGAGTACGTATGTTGTGTGGGTATGTATGGGTGTCCCACCCAGGGAAAATCATGGGATTTCTATTTAGGAGATTGGAGATGGGGCGGGGGGGGGGGGGGAATCCAAAGGGGAATTAAAAAAAAAGGGAGGGACTGGTTGGTTGGCAAGGTGAGGCCTCTACTGGGACCAAAATATTGTGCCTGTTACTGTGGTGATTTACTTTGGCAGTCAAAAATTGGTGTACGGTGGCCCATGCTTGTTGCTCTATACATATGACTATACAGGACATATTATGCATAATATATTACACATGATGTACTAGAAGAGGTTGGTGTCCCAACTCCCTCTGGTTTTGGATAGATAGCTTTTCAATACACTGTAATGTTGCTTTGATTTGGTGTAGGCCTGGAGAGTGCTGAGCAGTACCACAACCAAATCCCAGCCATGACAATAAAGGAATGAGCATTGTTGAAAACAATCTCTCATTTATTTGCCACTCTCTTTCTTGCAGCAAGGTAGAGAGAGAAAATAAAATGACCTTAGACCTGTTATGACTAAGATCTTCCAATGGATTTCTACGTTATGATTGGGGACAATATAAAGTGATGAAATAAATAGTGTTACTGAAATAATGCACTCTAATTTGAAGCATTCTCTATTGAACAAAAAGAGAGGTCATCTCTCTTTAACAAAACATAAGCTGGTTTGTCTTAACCTGTTAACTCTAAATGAGTTAACAAAATACAATTGCTGCATTCATTAAACGTTCAGTGTCTAAACAAATAAACCATATTATAACTTAATGTGATGAACTAACTCCACTATTATGCTAAGACAACTTCTTGGTTCTCCTACCACAATACAATAAAAATCACCAACCCAATTTTAGCTGAGTCTAGCATTTAAAACTAAGATTGATAAATAGATTTAAGTTGTGAACTGAGAAAAATAACAAGCGGTAATATGAGAGGAAGCATTTTACAAAAGTCTACAGTCTGTAACAATTTTGTAATTATGTACAGTTTGAATTAGATGCAGAAATATTTTAGGCTGCATTAAGTGCAATCATAACAGAAGCATGGTGGATTGCTTTTTTCAAGACATAATTTACCTATTTCATATACAGGTAGTCCTCAATTTACAACCACAATTGAGCCCAACATTTATGTTGCTAAGTGAGACATTTGTTAAGTGAGTTTTGTACCACTTTACGATCTTTCTTGCCATAGATAAGTGAATCACTGCAGTTGTTAAGTTAGTAACATGTTTAAGTGAATGTTTTCCCCAGTTATTTAGCTTGTCAAAAGATTGCAAAATGTGATCATCTCAGGACATGCACCCATGAGTCAGCTGCCAATCATATGAATTTTGATTATGTGATCATGGGGATACTGCAATAGTCGTAAGTCTGGAAAATGGCCATAAATCACTTTTTTCAGTGCCGTTGTAACTTCAGTCACTAAACAAACTCTTGTAAGTCAAGGACTACCTGTAATTGCCTGTATATTGAGAGAAGGGAAGAGAAGATAGATTGATTATAGAGGGATGCACACTGTAACAGTCTGAAATCCTAGTGAAAAACTATGTAGAAGATTAAAAAGAACTATATGCATGCCTTGCTTAGTATTGTTGTCCTTGGTATTTTCCCTCTTAGTACAATAATCCACTTGGTTTGCACTGTATTCACCTAGTTCTTAGAGCAAAGTTCATGATGCGACAAGGAATGTTGTTCCCTCACTATTTTATATAACCATGGATATAGGATTCAGGGGAGTCAGTAAAGTGAGAGAGTTTGCTGAGAATAACAAGTTGTTTATTGAATAAAATAAAAAGGGATAACAATGTGTTCCAAAAGAATGACTCCAAACTGGGAGAACAAGGCAAACGCAATTACGGCGAAATATGTACTAGAGCACAACTTATACATGTTGAAATGATATGTTGTGACTAACCACAAATTTCATCATTGAGATGTGTTAATTAACTTGAAAAACATTACAACACTTAAGAAATTAAGTATTACATTTATTTTGAAAGGAGAGTGAAGATCTCATTTTTGCTTGTGATACCTTCAGTTACAATCCTACCTTCACACTCCATCATATATAAGGAACTCATTTCATTATTTTACCTATTCTATATACTATCTATATTAATATTCAATACAAGTTCCAAACCAATGAACCCTGTTCATTGTCCTGTTTCTTGCTCAGTAGACTGACTTTCTTTTCAAATGAAGGCAAATATATGTGTTCCAGGATAATGTTGCAGGATCCAATCTGAATCATCAGGACCAGAGGTTTGTTCTTCCAAGCTTTCGGACTCATGCTGGAGCCCATCCTCAGGGAACTTCTCAACCTCCAGGATGGGCCTTTCTTTACATGTGTTGGGGCAACACCTAGTGATCTTCATTTTGTATTGTTGAGTAAAACATTCCTTTCTCAGGTCAATGCAGTCTTGAACAGAGTGGAAAATTCAATCTCTAGGTGGTAGTGAAAGATAAAGTAAGTAGCAGGGGGTGAAAGTCAGCAGGTTCTGACAGGTTCTGGAGAATCGGTAGCAGAAATTTTGAGTAGTTCAGAGAACCGGCAAATACCACCTCTGGCTGGCCCCAG